AAATATAAAATGAGGATTCTGTGATTAAATATCATTTAATTCAACTAATTAGAAAGCATTATTGTTAGCCCTCCATATCTGTGGGTTCCACAGCCTCAAATTCAACCAACCTTGAATCAATATTTAAAAATAAGTTTGCTGGGGGCTGGGGATGTGGCTCAAGCGGTAGTGCGCTTGCCTGGCATGCGTGCGGCCCGGGGTTCGATCCTCAGCACCACATACAAACAAAGATGTTGTGTCCACTGAAAACTAAAAAAATAATATAAAATAATATAAAATAAAAAAAAAATAAGTTTGCTGGGCATATAGCTCAGTTGGTAGGGTGTTTGCCTGGCATGCACAAGGCCCTGGGTTCAATCCCCAGCCCCACCAAAAAAAAAAAAAAACCTGAATCCATCTGCACTGAACATGTACAAATTTCTTGTCACCATTCCCTAAATAATACATCATAACAACTATTTTTTAATATTTACTTTTTAGTTATAGGTGGACACAATATCTTTATTTTATTTTTATGTGGTGCTGAGGATCAAATCCAATGTTTCACATATGGTAGGCGAGCGCTCTATCTCTGAATCACAACCCAGCCCCAGCATAACAACTATTTACACAGAGTTTTCATTTGATTAGGTTATTATAAGTCATCTACAGATGATTTAAAGTATGCAGGACGATGTGTATAGGTTATATGCAAATATGATACCATTTCATGTAAGGGACTTGAACATTCTCCCATTCTGGAATCTGCAGCGGTCCTGGAACCCATCCCCCTCTGATGAGGAGGGACTATTATACACAGTGGCCAACACCAGTAAACCTTCAACAATTGCTGGCTATTATTATTGTATACTTGACATTGCCAAAAAAAAAAAAAAAAAGAAGAAGAAGTTACTGAACTTGTACCTTTCCTTGGCTCTTGACTTATTTACTTGCTTCCTGCCCGCCACCCGTATTAGAATGTGCAGCACTTGAGGGCAGGTTTTTAAAGTTTCTTTTAATTGTTTTTTCCTCCTGTTGATGAAAATAATATATTCTTAAAGAGGGAGAAGGGGGAATCTAAGAATCTGCCTTAATCTCAGCCTCCAAAGGTAATCATGGTAGACAGTGGATTTTATAGATTTCTCTAGAATCATGGTTGGGTTAATGCTGAGACCCTTTTCCTGTAAAGAACTAAGTAATAAATATTTTTGGATTTGTGGTTGTATGTTTTTGCAACCATTTGACTTTCACCTTATAGCAGGAAAGTAATGTTAAAAAGAAATTATTCACCATATTTGTTAGAGATAGGAAGGGGGCTATATTGCCATAGTTATAGGGACCACTGCATGGGGTTTTGCAGTGGGGGAGAGAGATGAGGTTTGACTCCAATGGGGACAAGTGGGGATTTAAAACCAAGGAGCAGATGGGGGTCAGCGGATGAAAAATTATCAAGAGGAAAACATTGGGAGTAAGGGGGAGTCTTGCTGGACTAATCCAGTGGAATTCTTGCTGAAGTTAGGTGAGGGCGAGGAATTTTAAGTTATATCAGGGGCGAGGAATTATTAAGTTATATCGAGGGCGAGGAATTTTCAGTAAACCAATTCAGTAGGATTCTTTCTCAAGTTGGATTCTACAAGGACAGAGAGGTAAACCCAAGGTCTGCCCAGTGGAGCAGAGAACTCAGAAAAGATGACTCAGGCTTGGTCAAAGGAGAAAGTTTTTGTCAGTAGCCATAGATGATACCTAAACAAATGTGCAGGGCTGTGTTCCAATTACACAATGGACAAAATCATAATTCAGCTTGATCTGGCCCTGCCAGCGCCTCCCCTAGGATGCAACTGTCTAACAGAAGCACTTGTGAGCCACAGATTTTACATTGTCTTATTGTCACACGAAAACCAAAAAGCTTTGAGGTGACATTCATTTCAACATATATTATCAAACTCCATATATTCAAAATATTGCTTCACATATACTCAAAAGTAAATTTTTGAAATATTTTACATTCCTGTATTTGTAGTGAGTCTTCAAAATCTGCTGTGTATTTTAAACGTGTAGCATACTTCAGTGCAGACAAGCCACATTTCAGTAGCTACCTGTTGTACAGCTCAGCTACAGAATCTAGATGGTCTCTCTCTATAAAGTTACGTATGTTTTTAAAAATCAGTCAGGGTTGGTGGCACTCACGTGTAATCCCAGCAATTCAAAAGGCTGCAGGGGGCGGGGGCGGTGGTGGGGTGGGGTGTCGCAAGTTCTAGGTCAGCCTTAGCAATTTAATGAGACCCTAAGCAACTTAGTGACATCCTGCTCAAAATAAAAAAATAACAAGAGTTGGGGATGTGATTCAGTGACAAAGTGCCTCTGGGTTCAATGCCTAGTATCAAAAAGAATAAAAAAGTATTATAATTTACATCTTTTCACTAAATAATCTTTCTTGGAGATATTTCCCTAACATTGCATAAAGATCAACCTTTTTTGACAATCAGAATTTTATTATTTTTTAAATTTTGTTTAGTGATTCATGGGCACAATATCTTTATTTTGTTTATTTATTTTTATGTGGTGCTAAGGATCGAACCCAGTGCCTCACATTTGTGAGGCAAGCGCTCTGCCACTGAGCCACAACCTCAGCCCCAGAATTTCATTATTTAGGTTTATCACAATCTATTTCATGTGCTCACTATTGGTAGACATCTCTATCCCTAATTTTGTTATTTAACATACTGCAGGGATTGTGGTTTTACATGTAAATTTTGGTACCTGTGGAAGTATATCTTTAGAATAAATTCTTGTAAGTTGAATTTGGTGGGTCAAAGTTCCTAAGGTTATAATCACATTTAGCTTTTGGATAACTATTGCCAAGCTGGGATTCGGTCTTATTTCTCTGTATCTCCAGCATGTTGGCAATCAATGGGTGTTCAATGATGGATAGAGAACAATCCTCCAACATAAGGGATGTGGTGTAAGAGAGAAAAGTAAATAAAATGGAGTGAGATGGGAACAGTTAATGCCACATTAAGGAGGCACCAATTAAACTGCAGGTTGTACACTGAAAGGTGCCTCTCTCTGACATTTGGTTAAGCTCCTCTGAGCTCATTCCAATTCCTGAGCCTTTCAAAAAGCCTCCAGGCCTTGGGTCTCAGCCTGTGGCATTCTGTGTCTCACAGGGGAACTCTTAAAGGCCAAGGTGACTCTCGGTCTCCCTGTTGTGAGCAGAGCAGAGTTTCTGGTCAAGAGGGAAGGGGGTAGTTTATCATTTTGCCAGCTCTCAGGGGCACTGGGAAAAGCCCTGCTCTGCGAACTCCCACAATAAGGGGAGTCATGTCCCAAGAGTTCTCTGACACTGGCCACTGCCTTCTAGATTGAGGGACAGCATCCTCCCCCAGGCAGAGCACCTCATTATGACTATGGCAAGTGAGGTTCCACTCTCCAATGGCCAACACATGGACAGAAAGCCCACCTTGAAACCCTGAATTTATCTTGAGATCTTCTCCCTCCCTCCACCTATTGAGATGGTCCCCTGGCACCTCTGGCCACATTTGTGGCCGAGCCTCTTGCTGACAAGCCACAGCAAGAGCCCCTGGCTGGACTCCGACCCACCAGCTTCCCTCATACTTTTCCAGTTCATTCACCTTCCTCCTCACCCCAAACACAATCCCCAAACCTGACTTTTCTGTCACATCTCAGGAAGGCAGAGTCTGGCTTCCTTATCTCCCCAGGAGACTGCCACCATGCTTAGCACTTACTAATGCTAGTGAAATAAAAGAACACAACAATCACAGGACTTTATAGTTTGCTCTCCAACTCTTGTCATCTGGATTAATTCACGGGACAACTATTTATCAAATGCCAATAGTTAGTATATCTGGCACTGTATCCCTGACTTCATGGATCCTTTACTGCCCACGTCTAAGTTTCCCTGGATAAAATTTTTTCCAAGCTCCTCCCAAACACCCATTGATCATTCTGCCCTTTCTTTTGTTTTTTCAAATCAATTATATATTGGAGCACTTATTAGGTGCTAGCAGTATACTAAACATACATGTGTTAATTTAATCCGTATAAGAATCCTCCAGTGAATAATATGGCCCTGTTTAAAAATGAAATTAAGTAATCTCCTAAATGCAAATAGGCCCACTGGGAAGTGGGATGTGCATTTCTCCCTGGCTTGCAGCACCCTGTCCACCTGGGGCCCCACTACTTCGCCAGGAACCATCTGGCTCTTCACAAGTGGGGGCATGGCAGACCAGGGAAACAGAATTCTTCAGGAAATCTGTGTGTGTGTGTGTGTGTGTGTGTGTGTGTGTGTGTGTGTGCGCGTGTGCACAGGCATGCTGTTCCATTGGACTGGGAAACTAGCAACAAGGATACTGAGAGAGAAGACTGGAAGAGACAAGAAGTAACTCCTTGGGGAGGTCCTTGAGTTGCTGTTCTCTCTGTCCTACACCTTACTCCTCAGCACCTTTTACTGTGACTTCTTATGCCACACTTCCTGTCTTGACAGTCAGCCTGCTTTACATGTGTTATGGTTTGGATGTGAGGAGTCCCTCAAAAGCTCACATGTGAGACAATGCAAGAAGGTTCAGAGGAGAAATGATTGGGTTGTAAGTGTCTTCACCCAGTGAATTACCCCCCTGATAGAGATTACTGAGTGGTAAATGAAATGGTAGGGTGTGGCTGAAGGAGGGGGGAACTGGGAGGTGGCTTTGGGATATATACTTGTATCTGGCCACTGGAGACCTCTCTCTCTGCTTCCTGATCATCATGTGAGCTGCTTCCCTCTGCCACACTCTTCCACCACGACGGAGCTGGCTTTTCATGGACTGAGACTTCTGAAACTGTGAGCCCTTAAGTCAACTTTTCCTTCTCTACAGTTGTGCTGGTCGGGTCATTTAGTGACAGTAGCAAAAAAGCTGACTGAAACCACACGTGCTGCTGAATGGGAGTTCTCTGGAGGGCTGGATGTGAAGCAGCTTGTCCTACCTTCCTTGGTTGGTAGAGGGCAGGACGAGAATCCAAGCTTACTTTTCAGGTTGTGTTTATTTTTTGAAACAAAATGCAAGTGAATGTCCCCCAATTCAACTTTCAGAAAGGAGTAAGACAGCGCTAGCTACTCCTCAGGCCTTGGCCTTGTAGTCACATCCAGAATCTCGGCTTCCCTCCTATTTCTGTGCTTCTCCCAGTTGCCCAATTGTCTCCTTCCCAAGATTGTGGTTTTGTGAACAAGGAACAAAAACAATAGTAAAGCACTTTGATAAAATAAGAGCTAATAGATCCAGACAAAATTATTACAATCAGAGCCATAAACACCCCACTAGCCAGGAAGGGACAAATCTGTAAAATAAAGACACTCACATTCTCCTCTTTTTCTCTCCTCTTTCTAAAATTCTAGTTTGTATGATGTGTTTTCAGCCTTAATGATGTTTAAAATCTTGCCAGAGGCAGGGACACAGAGGGAAAGGGTTCCTGCTCATAAACAAAGGGATCGTTCCAGGAGAAGGGCTTAGAATTTTAAGGCTGATTGGAATTTTAAACATATTGGAATTTTTCAGCAGGAAAATCTAACACTCTGGAACTAACAATTCTAACATTAGGTCACTGGGGGCAGTTCAGCCTTCCTGCAATGCCTTAAAAATGTTTCTTTAGCCTCTTTTCTCCCCAGCTTGAAGCTTCAAGAACAACGGTTCCCTCCTCCATCAATATTCAGTGGACCATTACTGTTGACAGGGAACGTGAAGAGACACAAGTGAAAGCACAGGTCCCCTGACCTCCCGCTGGTCATGGAGCAGGAGGAACTAGGGGCCAGTGTAGATGATGACCAATGACCTGCCCAGGCTCTTCATCAGCCTCTGCCGAGCCACCCTTGGCTGGGGTTCCAAGGCTGAAGTCTCACTCTCTACAAGTGCCAAAGGGCACGCTGCCCCTCCGTCCACCTTCACACCTGCACCCCAGTTCATCCTGCCTGAGCACTTAGATGTTATGGGCATGTGAAACCTGGCTTGGGTTTCCTGCCGTCTGGGTTATGGAGGAAGAAGGAGTAGGCGCAAAAGGCAGGGAATTCACCCCGATCAACGGTGGGCTAAGAACTGAAGAGAACTTCCTGGATTTAGACAAGCTGCTCATTCATTCCTTCTCAGCCACGTCCATGAAGCCCCAGCGAGCATCCTCTTCCTCACTTTTCCTTGATGGAGGTGTGGTATGTGTCCCCAACTCAAAGCCAGGGCAAGACAACTGACAACAAGCCATCACCCCCCTTTTTAATATTTAATTTCTAGTTGTAGTTGGACACATTACCTTTATTTTATTTATTTATTTTTATGTGGCGCTGAGGATGGAACCCAGGGCCTCACACATGCTAGGTGAGCGCCCTATCACTGAGCCACAACCCCAGCCCCCAAGCCACCTCATTTCTGGCATGTCTCCTTCCTTCCATCTCTTTAGCAACATTGCTCTTGTACAGATGAGGGAATTGGGGCCCAGAGTGATTGACTTACACAAAGAGCTGGTTTCCAGGACAGCCCAGGCTCGGGCAAGATCTTCCAAGTCACAATTTCTGGGACCTTCTCAATCTAAAATGCTACATCCCAGCTTGTATCCCCCCCCCACACACCTCTCCAATTCTCTTTGCCTTCATTTTATTTTGACACGGGATTATGAGGCCCTGAGTAAAAGTAAGAATAATTAAAGCAGTCACTTTAATCCAGCAATTCTACTTCTAGATCTTTATCTTAGAGAGAAAAGCTGTGGTCTCAAGAAGAGTTAGGTGTCAGTTTTTTTTTTTTCATCTTGACTGATAATAATTAAAGACTGAAAACAGCCTGATGCATTGTAACAGGGAATACACAAACTGGGAGGTCCTTGCAATGTCTGACCACTCATCAATAAAAAGGCACAAACTACTGATATGTGTATTAGCATGGGTGAATCTTCCAAACGCTGTGCCAAGTGAGGGAAGCCAGAGACCAGAGCACTCATTATGAATCTGTTGCATAAGTTTTATAACATACAGGGGGAAAAGTAGAAATGAGTTTAGTGTTTGCTCGCAGAGCTAGAAGGATAGGGAAACAGAAGAGGTATAGGAAGATGTTGGGGGGCTAATTGGAAGGGGCATGAGGGAACTTTTTGAAGTTCTATATTGTGAAAATATTCCTTTCTTTTCTTTTTAAATTAATTAATATTTTAATTAGGCATATATGACAGCAGAATGCATTTTGATTCGTTGGGCAGAATTGCAGCACAACTTTACATGATGTAGTGTCACACCATATGTGCAGTCATACATGAACCTAGGGTAATGATGTCCATCTCATTCCACCATCTTTCCTGCCCTCATGCATCCTCTCTACTCTCCCTCAATATTCCTTTCTTGATGGGAGTGGGGGTTACATGGATGGATGCCTATTTTAGAACTGATCAAACTAGCTGAGCAGGGCGGCACATCCCTGTAATCCTAGAAGTTTAGGAGATTGAGGCAGGAGGATCGAGAGTTCAAAGCTAACCTTAGCAATTTAGCTAGGCCCTAAGCAACTCAGCGAGACCCTGTCTCTGAATAAAATACAAAAAAAGTGCTGGATATGTGGCTCAGTGGTTAAGCACCCCTGGGTTCAATCTTCAGTACAAAACAAAAACAAAAACAAAACCAAAAAAGCTGATCAAACTGTACACTTAAGATCTGTGCACCTCAATTTAGTTATGTCTAAATTTCAAAGATAAAAATAGTACATTACTTGCAAAATTATAAGAAATAAAGAAATAAGCAACATTTATTACTTTCCTGTATCCAAATTTCACATTCGAGTTAACTGCTGTCCCTCGTTTCATTCCATAACCTTCTGGAGACCCTTTCTAGGTAGATATGGATGACTTCCCCTCAGAACTTTCCTGAACATTGTGCTGTTACCTGCTCTGTGGCGGCACATAGTGCTAAAGGAAGGCGTTTTTGTGTCTCGAGGCATGAGATTAAAAACGGCCATTTCTGAGCCTCAATAATTTCCTGCTCTTTTGTTAATTATTAATTGTTTTTCCATGTTGGAGCACTTCCGATGATTTTGTGGGTGCCACTCATGGGTAAAGAATGTTTTGGTGACATCATATTTTCCTCACTGCTCTACTTTTAAGACAGTTCCCACTCCCACCTTATCCAGGTTCTCATCCCCTTTTCCCTGCGTCTCTTTTCCTGACCCCTCTGGTGGTGCTCATTAAATTCCACCTGCCTCTTCTTCACTTCCACTGTGCAAACTTGGGTGTGGGGGACACGCTGATCCCTCAGAGGCTAGGTCAGAGGTACCCCAAGAACGAGGACCTGAAGGCCTGAACACCCATTGGCAAATCTATGGAACAGGAAAGTACACGGGAAAAGAAAAACGGCTTTTAATTTAAGTGCAGTGTCTGAAAACGAACTTGCATTTTATTAACTACAACAGTTCTGCATATATTGAAATATTATTAAAATAATAACAGCAGCTACTGTTTATTGTGTACTTACTTACGTGTGGGTATTTTGCTAAGTGCTCTCTAGGCCTTATCGACACTTTGCCACACAATACCACAGGGAGGATTCCATTTTTTTTTTTTTAAAGAGAGAGTGAAAGAGGAGAGAGAGAGAGAATTTTTAATATTTATTTTTTAGTTCTCGGCGGACACAACATCTTTGTTGGTATGTGATGCTGAGGATCGAACCCGGGCCGCACGCATGCCAGGCGAGCTCGCTACCGCCTGAGCCACATCCCCAGCCCCAGGATTCCATTTTTATGCATACTGTATAGATGAGGAAACCGAGGCACAGAGAAGTTAAGCCACTTGCCCAAGCTCACACTGCTCAGCAGTGGAGGCTCAAGAATTCAGACTGACAGGCAGGAAGGCCTTAATGCCTCTCAAACTTGCCTCTTTTCTTTACTTTGTGAACAATGCCTGGCACACCTATGAGTTCTCCAGCCCCTGGCTTAAACTCAAGGTCCTCCTGGGAATCTGAGAACACTGGGAGGAGCCACAGGCCGTTTGGGGAGCACAGCTTAGAGCTGGGCCTCAACCCGTTGGCACAGGACCCTACTCGATTCGGCAGTTCTTTGCGTGTCTGTCAAACCATGGAGCTAAAGGGTGGTGCCTGCTTTGCCTCTGCCCAGTTGGCTTGTCAAGTACTCCCAGAGGCTGGAGGGGTTAACGGTTGAGAACCTGTTTGCAAACCATTAGAAACAATAATCACCTGGCCAGTAACCTGATCTACCTCCAAAGAAAGGTCTGGATTTGAGCAAACAGTGTAAGTGGCCTCTGTGTTCAGTGCAGGGGTGGAGTGGGCTGCCTAACTGCCTAACTTGCATTTCTTCTGGAACAGTTGGAATTCGTGTGGGGACCAAGCCAGGCCCACGGGCCAATTCTTGGGCCTGGGAGAGCTCACATCCTTCTGGCTTCTTCTGCCTCTGGAATTCTGAAGATGGCTCCCTGTAGGTAGTGGCTGCTACTTTCCTGCCCCGGCTGGGGAGCCAGTGAACAGCCTTTGTTCTCCACTTGACCAAGTGCCTTCGAGGGAGCTTCGCGATGTGCTCAGGCTCAGGCTGGGCTTGGATCCTCAGCCTGCAGCAGTATTGCTATTGTGCTTCCACTTCACAGATGAGGAAGAGGAGACTCTGAGACAGCAGTGTGCAGGATCCAGAGCGAGTTGTTATACTTGCAGGGTGGCAGCCTGAGGGGAGGAGAAGGACCCACATTTTCTTGGAGCCTTGACATGAACTTTTCCTTTTGAGGATGATATTTTAAATAGCATATGGAATTATAATTCAAATCTTCTAGAGGTTTTCCCTCTTCTACCACTTTGTGGATCATTTTAAATATGAAGAGGCGGGGGGGGGGGTCTCTCTCTTCTGTGATTTGCAGGTACAGTCCTGATCCTCGGTCATTAGGTTTGCTGTGGGGTTGACTGATCCAGGTGCTCTCACCTTTGAAATTGTCTCCGTGCATTGTACTGTTCCCTGTATCAGTCACAGGAGTTCTCTGTGTGTGTATGTTGTGGGGTGGGGGTGGGGGGGCATGGGACAATGTACCTCCAAAAATGGAATTTTCTCTCTCTGTTTCTGCTTCACTTAGTGTTGAACAAGCCAACATCCGATGACCTTATGCTGGTATCATGTCTGGGGCTGTGATCCTGACTGCACAGGACCTGTGAAGAACTGTAACTCACCTTAATAGGAATCTTCTGAAAACGTTGGAGGAAAGGAATGTAAACTGGTCTTATTGCCCTTGGTAACCATAATAGAAGTATTTGACCCCAACAGGTATTTCCCCCCCAGGTGTGGAAGGCTTTTTGTTTTCTCATTTCACAGGTAGGACCAAATATAGCTGCAGCAGGGAGAGTTCCAGATGTGGTTGTCTGTATGTGTGTGGAGAGAAGTTGCTGGTGTCACTCGGGGAAGTCAGAAAAGATTGTTTTCCTTTCCACAGTCAAACTTTCTTCTTAAGAGGTACTCAAAGGCTTCTCATTGCAAAAAAAAAAAAAAAAAAAAAAAACTTCTTTCTGAAGCAACAAGTTTGTGAGCTTACATGCTTCTTAGCTCATGACAAGGATCAGTAACACTGTGGGAGATTGTGCAGTCCAATATGGGAACCACCAGCCACATGAGAGTATGTGCATTTAGAATCAGGGACCACATAATGATGTTTGGTTAGTTATGATGAACTGCATATTTGATGGTGGTCCCGTGAGATTTTATCACCTACTGATGTCATAGCTGTCTCAGTTTGTGTAAATACACCGTATGATTTCACACAATGATGAAATTGCCTAACTACGCATTTCTCATAGCATATCTCCATCATGAAGCAATGCGTTACTTATAATTAAAATGAAATCAAATTAAATCTTCAGTTCCTCAGTTGCTTTGGTTATATTTCAAGGGCTCAATAGCATACATGAATAGTGGCTACCATGCTGGACAGAGCAGCTACAGGACATTTCCATCATTCCAGAACATTCTATTGGATGGTGTTACTCTAAGACAAACCTCATAACAGAAGTTGCCTAATTGGTCCCAGACAGTGGGGAGCTGCTCCACGGCCTGAGGGCCCTGGGTAAGGTTAGAGTGAGGATATCGTCCTATAAATCTGTACAGATGCACAGGTGAAGTCACTGGAGTGAAAGCTGAATTCATTAAGTCCCAAGTTTCCAATGCTATTATAAGATGACATATGATGACACTTTAATAAATATTTATTTCTTAAATATTCCACTTGGTTCAATGTCACTTGAGCAAAATCTAGACACCCTGGTACTGTGGAAGATACAAATTATACCCCTTTGGAATTCCTAATCTCTAAATTGAGGCAGGAAATGAATAAGAATAAGCTATAATAAGCTCAAAAGTGGACATTTGCCAAGGGGCAATAAATTATTTGGAGAGGAGATCAGTGAAGATTCTCAAAGAAAGATATATAAGCAAAGATTTGAAGGGTGACTAGATTTAGAGGGGATTACAAAAAGCTTTGGAAAATGGAAGGGTGTTTGGTGAGGAGGAATACGAAGTGGGAAGTTGAGGGTCGCAGGACTGGCCACTATATTTGTGGGACATCTTACTCTGCTTTGTGACCACAAACTGAGCAGTACATAAAGAAAACAATGATTCTTCATAGTCCTGGTGGCTGAGAAGTCCAGTATCCAGGGGTTGGTGTCTGGCGAGGATCTTCTGGCTGTGTCACCCTGTGGTAGGTAGGAGGCAGAGTTTGAGCTTGCAGCCTGAGCCCTTCTTTAGCCGGCATGAGTACATTCATGAGGGAAGAGCACTCACGGCCTCTTCGGGTCTTAAAGGTGCCACCTCTTAACACTGTTGAATTGGAGATGAAGTTTATAGCACAGGCTTCCAGGGAAATGCATGCAAACCACAGGCAAAGCTGGTGTAAAATGAAAATGCAGGGACCTTTGGTCCAAAATTATTCAGAATTTCAAGATGGCAGCAGGTGAGCATTAAAGCCAGCAGGTGCCCAGGTTGTGTGTCCACAAAGCAAGCCATCCCAGTGGTAGGAGAAGTTAAAGAGAAAGTAGGACCATATTATCAAATGCTTTCTAGTGACAGTTTGGAGCTTGAAATTTGTCCTGACAAGACATTTTTAAGCTGAGATGAGGCAAGATGAGGCTGCATGAACCAAGGCCACGGTGGAGCCACGCCCCCACTGAAGGAAGCCTGGTGAAGAAGTGTCCAAGTGGTCTAGAGGAAGCTGGTGGGGGAAGAGCACAGCAGTGGGCGGCGAGGAACTGGGGCCTTAAAAGCTCTGGGGGTGGGGAACTTGATGAGGGCACCCTGATGGCACAGCACGTGACCAGGCCACCCTCCATGGATATCTCTTATGCCTCCCTCTTTGCGGGTTCTGGAGTCTTTGGGCTTCCGTTATCTCACCCACAGCAAAAGGCTGAGGGTGGAGGTAAAGCAGGAGTGGCTCATGGACCTGCCACGTGCCCCTGGCCTAGAACTCTTTTGGGAATTCCCTTATTCTGTTTCTACAGAGGCAGCTGATTTCTCTGACCCAAATCTAGAGGGAGCCCAATAAATCCCCCACTTCACCCTACCTAGCAATACGGTATTTTTCTATTTTTTTGGGGGGGTATTAGGAATTGAACGGAGGGGCACTCGACCACTGAACCACATCCCCAGCCCTATTCTGTATTTTACTTAGAGACAGGGTCTCACTGAGTTGCTTAGCGCCTCACTTTTGCTGAGGCTGGCTTTGAACTGGTGATCCTCCTGCCTCAGTCTCCCGAGCTGCTGGGATTACAGGCATGCGCTAGTGCACGGGGCCCACAATACAGCATTTGGAGGCAGCAAAATCATCCTTGGTTTCATGACAACCCCCTTCAGATTTGCATTTCCTGACTTGGGGACTTGTGATGTTCCATGAGCCATTATCAGAGGGCTGAATGAGGATGTGCCTTTCTGGGGGGCATTGATGGCTGTGGAGCCAGTAAGTGACAAGACAGTCACCAAGAGCCCAGGACAATTCTATATATAGCAGGAAAGAATAGAAAAGAACCAAACTGTGCGGTACCTCCAGTAGCAGCCAGTGGTGCTCAGTGCCAGGGCCCCTCCCGTTGACAGAAGTCTCCGATCCTCACCTCAACACCTCAAGATGAGTGCAATGCCTCGCCTTTTACACACAAGTAAGCTGAGGCTCACCTGTCAAGAGGGACCTTCCACTGTCACCTGTCGGTGGGATGTGTGTTAGAACTTGTCTTTACATCCAGGGTGGTCCCCTCCCTGACTTTCCCTCCCAGTAAATTCTGATGCTCTTGTATCTAATGATGGGGGAGATTTTTTTTTAACCCTTCCATGAGCAGATATTTCCAAATAGCTTATTCATAAAAAAGGGGGGTGGGGTGGGGGAAGCATCAGTTCTGCGGAAAGAGAGGCATATTTGAAGGGAAATGAAAACACAAGTCACAGAGTGAGGTAGGTACAAGTCATGACTTGGCCACATGGAGCTAGGTTGCTCCAAACATTTAGCTATTTTCTTATGGTATATCAGACTCCAGGCCACTAATTACTGTTTTTTTTTTTTTTTTTAAAAAAACAGCAACACATGAACATCCTTGTTTGGTAAGGGAGACTTGTTGAGGTAACTCTGAACTTTCTAGAAATTAGGAGATGTGATGGGGGCAGGTGGGAGGAAAATAGTGAGGATGAACTTGGGTGTCCCCTGAATGAGCCCATCTTTGGGGTGGCCACTTTGCCCTTCTGAACATCCCTTGCTCTGTGCTCTAACAAGCAGGAGCATGTCCGGTTGCTTTAGGGATAGGTGAGGAGGAAGGGGGACGAAGAAGACCAGGAGGTGATGTCACCAACACACAGGTACAGGGGACAGTTGCACTCAGATGCAGAGGCTGCCTCCTCAGGTTGATCGCTCTTTAAGCTGGGATATTAATTTTACAAGTAGGAAAGACTCTCCTAGATATAGAAATTTTGCTGACAGGGAAAAAAAAAAAAAAAGCAAACAGACCCACAGCCCGTGGGCTCTGGATGAAAGACCTGGGCCTCTGGGAGCATCTTCCGGGCTGCAAAAAGGGCTAGGCTGCTCGAAAGGTACTTGAGACCAATAAAACAGTGACTCCAAAACGCACCCATATGTCACATTCTTATAGGAAAATACCGTCTATAATTAGTTACAAGCTTTAGAGAATAAAATCCAATTTACCTGTCAAAGAGAAAGGCTGAATTGCCCCCACCCCAGACGGCCGGGAGAATGTGGCTCGCAGGTCCCTTACTTTCTCCCCAGCCCCTACCTTTCTCCTCCCATCCTCTTTATTGGAGAAGACTGAAAAAAAAAAAAAGTATAAAAGTTGGAAAGATCTTCTAAAGACACACAGTGTTCCAAGCACAATCAGGCCACTAATTACTGTTAAGCTTGAGTCCTTTTTGTGCTCTGAGGGGGAGACTTCAGTGTGTAGCGACCACTTGGGTCTTTTCATGAGTCGGAGCTAACCCCTGAATAGCAGATTTTTTCTTTCCCCCTTTCAACGTTTGGTTGCCACAGCCTTTCTTCTCCTTCATCTTTGTCTTCACTTTCTCCTTTTTTTTCTTTCTTTTTTCTTTTCTCTCTCTGTGTGTATATGTGTCCCCCCCCCCACCACTAATTTTTTTTCTGGGTGCTTTTTACTTCTCTTCTGGTGTTGTGTTTTAAGTCTCTAAATGAAACTTGACTGCCCCCATGGCCGGTTGGAGAAGCACAAAGGCCTCCCATTCCACTGGCTACAGTAACGCCATTGTGTGTCCTAACAATGCACTAATTGGCGGTGACAATTGTGGAGTTGGGGAGGAAGAAGGGGGCCCGCTCTTTTCCAATCAGGGAGCCATGGAAATAAAAGGAGAGGAGGAGGAGGAGGAGGTGGTGGAGGACAGGAGGCCCAGGTTCCTGGTGGAGGGGGGTGTGGAGGCACAGAGGGGGCCCAGCACTCTGGTTTGTGCTGGGCTTTCTAAATTAATAATAATAAAAAAAAAATCCAAGGAGAAAAGAATTATTTTTGGAAAAATATAGACTGTGCTGCAGTTGGTTCAGGTCCTGGTGGTGGTGGGATGGGAAGGAGGTGAAGGTGAGCTGTGGGTGATGGCCCTTCTTGGGGAAGGGAAACAGGTAGAGCCCATTTCCCTGACCAGGACTCCAAGACTCCTGGGTTTCTGCCACCAAATGGAACGGGATGGAAGAGGCTGGTGAGAAAAGGCTCAGAGAAAAACTCTCCACAGAACAGGGAAACTGAAAGCCGAGTGTTTGAGACTGGTCTGTGGTGGTGTCTCTATTTCAACCACATTTCTGGGCTGTGAGAGCCAGAAAGAGGAGAGGTTTAGCTATTTTCTTATGGTATATCAGACTCCAGGGACGTCCAGGACATGATATGGAAGGCTATGCTGACCTCTATCCTGTACAATGTGTGTGTGTGTGTGGGGGGGGGTTACTCGGGATTGAACCCATGGCCTTATGCATGCTAGGAAAGCACTCTATTGCCGACCTACATCCCTACCCCTTCGCTGACCTATAAAGTGATCCTAAAGAGGAGTCAGGCACGATGGCAGATGAGAACAAAATCAAAGCCAAATGATGCTTCCAGGGCTCTCGGGCCTGCTGGAGAATGCCCCAGAAATCCACGAAGGTCACCTGGAGCCCAGTGCCACCTTGTTCCAGCCCACGCCCTTCCTTTATACACAATGACTCACCGTCCTAGACCAACCCCAACCGTGCCTTCCTGGGAAGCTTTCTCTGCTCAGGAAGACTAGACACACACCCTCTTTCATAGTCTCCCTGCACCCTGAAATAATAGACCCTGACCTCGATTCCTCCATTCCTGTGCACCGAGCCACTGCTAAGTGTCTTGTATTTTATTT